AAAAAAAAAAAAAAAAAAAAGGTGAGAAATTGCCCCAGATTGAGGACTAGAGACATGTGACAACTAAACACCAAACGTGATTCTAGACTGGATCCTATTATGGAGATTTTCTTTTTAAGCTACAGAGAGTATTATTGAATAAACTGACAAATATGGAATATTGTCAAAAGATTAGTTGAAGTTTTATGTTGGGTGTTCAATTTACTAAAGAAAATAATTACGTAAAAGTTTTTTTTTTTTTTTTTTTTTTTTGAGTCGGAGTCTCACTCTGTCGCCCAGACTGGAGTGCAGTGGCCGCTCCCGGCCACCGCAGCCTCGACCTGCTGGGCCCCGGCGATCCTTCCGCCTCAGCCTTCCGAGTAGCCGGAATTACAGGCGTGCGCTACCACGCCCGGCTGATTTTTTGATTTATTGTAGAGATGAGGTCTCGCTGCCCAGGCGGGTCTCGAACCCGCGGGCTCAGGCAATCCACTCACCTCAGCCTCCTAAAGGCAAGATTTTTTTTAAGGAATACACAATGAAATATTCAAGGAGAAAGTGTGTGATGTACGAAATGTATTCTCAAGTATTCAGGAACGAATCTGTATTTTTCGTGTATGTGCATGCATGTGTGGAAAAAGGAGGAAGGAGAGAGTCCAGAGAAATAACAAATGGGTCAAAATGTTACAATAGGTATAAATTGATTGAGGGTAAACTGTAGTTTTCCCCTTGCCTCTCTGCAAGTTTACTTTCAACTAAATAGTTTTTAAAATGGACCATTGATGACGTTGGCATGAATTTTTCATAAACCATGAGATGTTTGGCTTTGATTCCCACAGTTGCCACACCACACCAGGACCTGGTAGTGTGCAAAGCTGGCATTGCAAATTAATATGGTAAAGTAGAATGCAACACCAATTTTAAAACAAGTTCTGTTCCAGGCAAGAACCGGGGATCCTCTTTCCACATCTGAAGCCTGCTAACATTTCAGCAGGGTCTTACAAACTAGAAAAGACTACACCCCAAATTTTGTTTTAATTATCCACATTGCAAAACAAAAAAGAACCCAAAACCTCAATGAACCCTGTTTACAGCATGTAGGCCCTCATTTCTCATCTGATGCCACCACGTCATCTGTCTTCTGGGGTGTGTGGTGTGAATCGGCTTGCAAGTGCTTCGTCTGCTCTGCTAAGTCAGTTACCTCCTCCACCGGATTCTGTCTTCCAAACACGTGCTGACCTGTTTTGTTGTATCTTCTTCTATTCCTGTCATCCTCAAGCACTCGTTCTTTTTAAAGCCTTCACTTTGTTAACAGTTTTATTGAAATATAGCTCATGTACCATATGCCACCCATTTACAGTGTATAACTCAATGATTTTTATTATACTCACAGTTGTGCATCTACCACCAAAGTCAGTTTTAAAACACTTCCAAGATTTCCAAAAGAAACCCCATACCCTTTAACCGATACCTTCTCACTTCTCATTCCTCTATCCCTAAGCAAGCACGAATCTATTTCTGTCTCTACAGATTTCTCTGTTCTGAGCACGGCATAAGAATGGAAGCATACGAGGTCGTTTGCAAATGACTTCTTTCACTCATTGTAAATGTTTTCCATGTTCACCCTTGCTGTTGCATGTATTGATACTATATTCCCTTTTTATGGCTGAGTAATATTCCATGGTATGGATATACTACGTTTGATTTATAAATTCATCAGTTGATGGACACCTGGGTTGTTTCTACCTTTTGGCTATTAAGAATAATGCTATGAGCCGGGCTCGGTGGCTCAGCCTGTCATCCCGCGCCTTTGGGAGGCTGAGGTGAGTGGATTGCCTGAGCCTGCGGGTTCGAGACCCGCCTGGGCAGCGAGACCTCATCTCTACAATAAATAAATTTAAAAAATCAGCCGAGCGTGGTAGTAAGTGCCTGTGATTCCGGCTACTTGGAAGGCTGAGGCGGAAGGATCGCCGGAGCCCAGCAGGTCGAGGCTGCGGTGGCCGGGAGCGGCCACTGCACTCCAGTGAGACTCCAAACCCCTCCCCCCCGCAAAAAAAAAAAAGAATAATGCTATGAACTATTGCATACAAGTTTCTGTGTGGATATATGTTTTCATTTGTCTCGGATGTATATCAAGAGGTGGGATTACTGACTTATAAACCAACTCTGTTTAACATTTTGAGGAACCGCCAGGCTGTGTTCTGAAGAGCTGTGGCATTTTGAATTCCCATCAGCAGTGTGTGAGACTTGCATTGTCTCCAAATTTTCTCAGACGCTTACCTGACTTTTTGATTCTAGCCATCCTAATGGGTGTGAAGTGAGAGCTCCTATTAATTTTGATTTGTATTTTCCTGATGGTGCTGTCCAATATCTTTTCACATAATCCTTTACTTTTAATAGCATTTGGGGAGGGAGAGGAGGTAAGAAAGTGCATTTGATTTACTGTATTTATCTGGAAACATAATACTTCATTTTAAATATGTGCCAGGAGAAAAAAATCTTCTAAATATTTGAAAAAATTTACATATCGATTTCAAGTTGTATCAGCATGTACAGTTTTCTGCCTCTAAACTTTTTTCATGGTATAGTTACTGTGTGATTAGGGGAAAGCTACATTGTGCACCGACTTTATAAGATTATTCCTTGTATGGTTTGAGGGTAGGAAATCAATCGACACCTTGGGACTGACTAAAAGGCAAAGCAGAACTGAAGGCCAAAGCCAGCAAAGCTCGAGGTGTTTCAGTCACCGACGCTGTAAATGTGGGTTGCAGATAAATGTGGTCCTAATGTGATCAATAGCAAAGGAATGTGAGAGCCTTGACATAGAACACTCAGCATATCTTCTAACATGGATAGACAGATGTTTAAATGGAGTCTTGCACTTCAGTGGTAGTGTAAAAGATGAGTGCTTCACCCACGGCAAAGGATGATCATTGTGAAAAAGTTGCGTGGTAAGTACATGGGGAGTCATGTTCTTCTATTGGCTTTGTAATGTTGATAAACATTTTTGCAATACAAAGCTTTAAAATATAAAATGTGTTGAGTGCATCCCAAAGAGAGGGAGACAGCCATAAGGAAAACTGTGGCTTTGTCTGCTCTGCTAAGTCAGTTACCTCCTCCACCGGAATGGGTCATCCAAACATGTGTTGACTGCTTTTGCTGTATCCTCTTGGGTTCTTCTCATCCTCAAGCACTTATTGTAAATGCTTTATTTTTTTTTTTAAATAATTTTATTGAAGTCCTGGTCACATACTGCACAAGTCATCCATTGAAAGCATGTACTGTGTACACTTTGCGAGGCCAGGATGGATAAGTTCCCCTCATGACTAGAGTTTAGCTAGCTCTCAAAGACATTTCAGGCAGACATTCCTTTGAAGATAGAAATCTTGGAAGGAAAAAGAAGAAAAGGAGGGATGGGTATAATTTTTGAAAGAATTTTGATTAAAAGCTCCCATCTAATGGTTTCTGGTTTTTCTGTGACTGGTGAGTTTATCACATCTGTTGAACAAGATACTATGGCCTAAGCTTAAGAAAAGTGCAGAAGGTTTGAATTGCATTTGAGTAGCATAGGAGAGAGAGTGGCCTAAGGAAAAGTGACCTATGCTCGCTTTCTTCTGTTTACTGTTTGTAAGCATATTAGTAATTACTGTTGGAGTGAATGAATGATTTCCAGGTAGTGCTGGGGCTAACCACGCATACATTTATCATGGTGACAATAGATTGATTGTGATATTTAATCTAATGGTGGTCAGTTACTTATTGGAAGGCATTTCTGGAAAAGCCCAAGAGATGGGATTTTGTCAGATAGGAAGGATTAAAGGGTGTTGGATGAGGACTATTTGAAGTGGAACTTTAATATATTATTTGCGGAATAGACCATGAAGTTGATCTTGCAGGAGGAGGAAATGAAGTCAAGAGCTTGGGGATAGACAATTAAGTAGAAAAATTAATGATGTTGAGTTGAAAATTGGATGAATTGAGGACATATGCTGGAAGGACAGGAGGATGAGATCAAGGGTAGAAAGTCAGGCTGTATTATTACAGGTGTAGGGGTGTTCCCGATGGTAAGTTCGAAGTGTGGCAGTAACTGAACTCCAATGAAGATAAAGGATGCTAAGATGTGACAACAGAGGAATTGGCAGGCCAGGATGTTGGGGTTCTCCACAGATTCTCCAGCTCCACAAGTTCTTTCCCCAGTACTCAGCCCACATTTTGTCCTTCTCCGGGCCTGTGCAGAATCTGCATTCTTTCTGTAACTCTAAGCATTGACACTGCAGGGTCAATGGCATAACTCTGGATAAGAAAATAGGAATATGGTAGGCCGAGAGTGCTATAGTGGGCATCTGTTTTGTTTTTGTATTTGACACCAGACATACACAAATTTTTCTGGAAAAACGACTTCAAGTGCCTCTAAAAAAAAAAATAACAAAAAAACTCACCTTACTTTTGAGTCCCAGTCTGTACAATGAGTGGAGTTGCCTTTTCTACTGACCTTTGTTTTACAGGTGGGAATGTGCTCAGTCTTGGCCAAAAAGAACATAATAAAGGTTCATACTGTCCAACCTCACTGAGACTCAACTGTAATCCCAGCACTTTGGTGGGCAAGTGTGGGAGAATTACTTGAGCCCAGGAGTCTGAGGTCAACATATGCAACATAGCAACATCTGTACTAGGAAAAAAAAATGAATAACATAAGCTGGACACAGTGGCATTCACCTGTAATCCCAGCTATTTGGGAGGCTGAGGTAAGAAGATCACCTGAGCCCAGGAGGCCAAGACTGCAGTGAGCCATGATCCTGCCAGAAAGACACCTTGACTCAAACAAACCAAAAAATCCATAGTGAGCCTAAATATCTGTAACCCTAGGGCGTAATCCAGAACTCACCAAGATCATGAGCTGCAGGTGTTCTGGGGATGTCTCCCATGCTCCACCAAGCCTATGAAGATCACAGGTGGCACCTCCATCCTGATAAGTGAACTGAACAATTCAATGGAAGACCTTTCACATTGTCATCAGGCATGTATGAAAGGAAGACACTAAAATCACCTTGCGAGAAGAAAGGGATGCTGTGCCAGACAAGAGCCTGTCTACGTAATCAAAGACCAGCCCTACATTCACTTCTGCCAGAATGACACCAGTAAGCCCTGCAGTGTCCTCATCAGTTTCAAGGAAGAGGTACTTAGATCAGATTGGGAAAAGGGCTCATGATATCGAGATGATGAGCATAAACCTTTGTTCTACAAGCAAGGTCATTCTTTCCCGACTTTTTTTTTTTCTTGCTTTCCCGCTCACTCGAAAATATCTTTGCTCTCAGCTTTACTTTACCCTCGGAGGTAAGCGGCTGCCTAGTCAACATCCTGCCACTGACAGCCTGGTGCTCCTTTTGCAAAGATGTCATCAATTCAGGCAGCCTGAAGAAATACCCGGGGAGAAACAGCACCACCCCAAGGTGACTTTCTGGTAGGAAAACCTCAACGTCAAGGTCAAAAATATGCTTCCCCAACACAGGAATATGTCCTGCATGACAGATTTTTAAGCAACAATTAGCCCGTTCCTAAGACTGTACTCCAATCAGTCCAGTATCCACTGCAACAATATTCTCAAACACTCCCACCCACGTGTGGGCCTCTGATCACTGACAACTGTGTGTGAAAAATGATTAAACCCCCATTTTCTGAAAAATATATATCTCTGACCCTCCCTCCAGATATAGAGGACCTATCTTCATTACTAAAAGATGTGAAGCAGTCAATGAGGACGAAAGTGCCGGCTGCCATACAATGTCATTAAGGTGAAGCCAAAAGGTAGGACACAGAGTCCATCTCCTCAAACTTCTTCAGAAACGCACATGATACCCATTCCTCCAAGGATTCAGAGAACTGGTCACCTTTTAGAAGTCAAAAGAGGAGGCAATCTGTAAGAGCTGAACTAATCCCTATATTCCCCTAAATCCAAGCTCTGGATTACCCAAACCCTAGGCCCCCAACACAGTACACAGAAGAGACGTCACTTATTCAAACATTTATTGGGGTGCAATATCCTCAACAAGGAATGAGTTATTTTTGTGGGGAAGAAAATTTTCCTTCCCAGAAATGGTTGGGAGGTGTATTTCAGCCTAAAAAATAAAAACATAACTCCGGACACGGAGCTATCAGCAGCGGTAGGGGCCACCGGAGGCACCCAGCCTACTTGACACCTGCAGGTGGGCTTGGAGGGGGCACAGGCTTCCTCTGGTGCATGGATGGGGGATGCCTCGGACACATTTTCTGGTCCTTCAATGCCATGACTTTCTGGGGTTTTCTCTCTTTGTCTCTGATCTGTCTAATCCTTATAGGATAACCCTTGGCCCACAAAGGCAGTTTCTTGGCTGCAAGACTTGGATCGAATCACTTTACAGGAGGGAGCCATGTCATTGCAGGGATGGCCCCGGGCAGGCTCTGCCTGGACCTGCAGTTCCGCCTTGTGCTGAGTTTTCCCAGACTTCACTGGAGAGGAAAGGGGTTCCTAGGGGCAGGCGACATCCATCTCATGCCTATGACCCAGTTTCTCCTCTGGGAACTTCCCAAGATCTGTCTTAAGTTTCTGGTCTTCAGCAGTCCCAGTAGAGGCAGCTCTACCTTTAAGTAGGACTCTGTTCCGCACAGATGATGACAGGGAACTTGCTTGTGCTTTGCATGTCATGCTAGGTTTAGAAAGCCAGTGCAAAAAGCGTTTCAACTGTTTTTCGAAAATGTTTTCAGAAGGAGGCTGTTCCTTCATTGACGGGCTTGGAGAAGATTTGCTCTCAAGCATCTTCTTTAATGTGTTGTCTTGAGTAGGGTGGCCCTTTCTCCTGTGTCTGGATGTCCCCAATCCTGCATCCCCTCTGCCAAGCTCTCCTGCATTAGGTCCCAGAGGGTTCACTCTCTTCGCAGCTGGAGGGAAATTCCTATCCTGGTACTTCCTTGAGACATGTTTAGGAACCCAGGGCTTCTGCTGCTGTTCCACGCTGATCCCTCTATCCCCTGAGTGGACATGCTGCCGTGGGAAGCTGCCGTGTCCCCACTGGAGCTGCCCTGGGTATGAGTCAGTAAAGTCTTGGGAGTCCAGTTATCTGGGGCAAGGGACAAGGCCGTGGGATGGCTTTGAGCCCGGCCATGCTCCCTGTTTTCCAATTTAACCCTTAACTCACTCAACATCTGGTTTTCAAGTTCTGACAGTTTCGGGTCATGGGGAACTGAGAATCTGAGTGCGGAACTTTCAGTGGCCAGAGTCATTTCTGCATGACTGAGATTCATGGTGATCACTGGGAAGCTTTCTGGCTCCCTCGTTGTCAAGGTTTTACTCGATTGTGATTCAAGGGCATAGAGCTCCTCTGCCTTGAATACCTCCCTGGACTTGTTGGAGATGGAAAAGTGTTGTAAAGTTCTTCTCCACCTTGCTTTTGTCCTGAAGCCTTTCCACACTATGGCTGGAGCTCCCTCTCTTATCCTTTGAATCATGCTCAGTCTCAGCTTGCTTTGTGAGCAGCTCTAGGCTGTGTCTCCTGACTGCCTCAGGCTGTTTCTGACTCACTTTGTCCATGCTGCTCTGGGTGCAGCGCAGAAAAGTTTGTCTGGACATTCTTTGTTAGCTTATGGTCAATATCAGAGGGTAATTGTCTCAGGATCCCCTGTCTTTCTTTGCTCACCAATGAGGTGACAGGCCAAGGATGATCTAGGTTGGGAACTGAATTTTTTGTTCCTATCTTTTCTCCTTGAAAAGCTTTAGAGCTTCTTCTAAGAGGCCTGGAGACCCCATCTTTGGAATCCACCCCACAAACAAAGTTGGCTGAGGAGGGAAAGCTGGAATGGGAAAAGGGCTGGGATGAGGTCTCTTTCAAGTTAAAGATTTTTATGGATTCAAGGTTGACTATAGAGTCTCCCCCAGGAGAGACTTCAGAAGAATGGAGGACAATAAGCTCTTGCTTGAAATCAGATTGGGCCAAGTTGGAGGGAGACAAGTCCTTGGCCCGAGGCTGACACCTAGAGAATTGTGAAGTTGCAAGACTTGAATGGTCAGTGTGGTGATTGCTGCTTTAGAACCAGAGCTATCTGGAGATGATAGCTCTGGTCCAGGACTCAGCACCGTGGAACTGGATTTATGCTGACTCACAGTAGAGTCTGGCAGTGGTGGAGAGGACGGTGTTGGTGGTGTGTGATCTGTATGATCATTGCCAGGGAAACTTCTGGTAAGGGGCTGATATCTTGGGCAAGGGAGGAGTCATGTGGGAAGATGGTCTCTAGAGACAAAATATCCTGTGTTTGGAGATCAGGATCTGCTCTCTGAATCTGACATGGTGGGAGAGGGTGAAGGTCAAGTGGTTTGGGTAAGGATTGGCCCACGAGGACTTTAGATTCCAAGGAAGAGCCGGCTCTGTTGGCAGAGCCACTCGGTGGTGAGGGTCAAAGTAAGTCAGCTGACGGGGTCATCAGGTTAGGCGAGAGATTGGAGAGGGGAGGAGGGGAAGGCTCAGATTCAGGGACTGTTGTGAGGTCATCTTGAGAGGTCGCTTTTTATTAGAGGGAAGGATGGCCTAGTCACAGAACCTGTGGATGCCTAAGAGGACATAGCGGGTGCTGCATCCTTCCGAGACGCCTGGACCAGCAGTCGCTTGACCTCAACAGCTACTCTGTCACAGACCGCACAGAGGGGGTCCGGACATAACAGGAACTGAAGGCGGGTGTTATAATAATGCTGGCCCAGGGAGCTGCAGGAGACAGGAAATAAAAAGCTGTAGCCAGGACTGACACAAACATGTGTAACCTTGGCAGCTCTAGCAAAGCTAGGGCCACCCAGAGCATACTGTCCTTTCATGTGCCCCACTTCCCTGATCTCGATATACCTTTGGTCCCTCTTGTGTCCTTGGGGGATTTCCCTTCCCGTGTCAAACCCAGGCTCCAATGAGGCCCTAGAATTGCACAGGCCCTGCTACAAAGAGGGATCAGGAAAGAAGGGTAATGCTGAGTCACCTTTTCAGGACGGAAAGCAGCCTCCTTGCCTCTTTCACTTCATTCTGGTCATATCTCCTACCTGTGGAGCCAGAATGGAGGTTACGGGACAATGAAGAAGTTAGAAGCAAAGAGAACTTACAGGAGGCTGAGTAGAATGCCTCTTGGTGGTCCCCTTGGTAGACTGGTCTTGGAGAGCCCCAAGAATCAGTAGTAGAAAAAGTTAAATGTGATCTTTGATAATAGTAATGAGGTTCACAGATGCATGGAGCTTCATTCTTAAAGTGCTTTCACATACAATATCCCTTGGGATACTCAAAACCACCACGTGAAGCATAGACAGTGGGGCTTACCTCGAAGATAGATCTGAGGACATGTACACAGTTGTAGGGCAGAAGTTCTCACTCCTGATCAACCGGTAGTCCTTCCTCCAGATCTCACATGACCACCCACGGGGCAACACCCAGTGTTCAGGCCCATCATGCCTTTGTGCCCGTGGATGGGCAGAGCAGGGTCTCTGAGAAGTATCTCACGTCAATTGTTTGCCCATGAGTGGCTCCTCTGACGGCTCTGTGTTCTCAGAAAGGCTGTATCTAGGAACTGGCAGAACTCATGGCCTGAGACCTCATGGAAGAGAATCTGTCACTCCTGGAGAGCACAGGCCTAGCAGAAACTTACCTTCACGTCTTACACCTTTCCTTCTCCTCCTGACTGTGCCCGGATGCTGAAAAAAAAAGAAAAGCATGAGAGCCTGGGACTCGCTTCTCTTCAGGAAGCTCAGGCATTTATTACCCAACAATAATATGACTCTCCATTGTAATGAGTAGAAATATTCCTTTTATCAAATTTTTTTTTTTTTTTTTTGAGTTGGAGTCTCACTCTGTCGCCCAGACTGGAGTGCAGTGGCCGCTCCCGGCCACCGCAGCCTCGACCTACTGGGCTTCACGATCCTTCCGCCTCAGCCTTCCAAGTAGCCGGAACCACAGGCATGCGCTACCACTCCCGGCTCATTTTTATTTATTGTAGAGATGAGGTCTCGCCAAGTTGTCCAGACAGGTCTCGAACCCACGGGCTCAGGCAATCCACTCACCTCAACCTCCCAAAGGCGCGGGATTACAGGCTGAGCCACCGAGCCCAGCTTCTTTTATCAAATTTTATGGGTGATAAAGTATCTCCAAACTTTCCTTCTTTGAAAAACTCCAGTGACCCCTTGTGTACCTAATCCTGAACTGTACTCCACACCTTTAAAATAATTTTTTTAAAAAGAGAAACTCGAAGGAAGATTTTTGTCTGTGAGATCCACACTCGATGCTCTCAGTTAGCAGCCCTCTGCCCAAGAAGTGCACAGAGTCAGTCACCAGCAGACAAGTAGTGCTCCCTCAGAGGACCCTGTCTTCTGCCGTTCCTCTCCTGGTCACCCAGCTAGAAGGAACGCTTGGTTGAGCTACACCTGACATGGGAATGTGACTTGTGATAGAAGGAGACAGTCTTCTTCAGAGAACCCCTGCTCTCTAAGTAAGCCAATCCAGGACCATGAAATCACCGTTTGGAATTTTATCCGAGAACTTTACACCACCCCCAGACTGACTGTGAGCTTCAGATGGAAACCTTAGTCCTCCTGAACCCCTAGTCCTGTCCCACCTTTTCCCCAGAAAAGTGAAGTTTTACCCACTCTGATTTCCCACCCAGGCATACCTCGAAGCCAGCCACACTCCTTTGGAAATGTGGGAAGAGGAGTGAGAAACAACAAACAGGAATCTCTCTGGGGTGTTCACCCGGACTCCTTACCTTCGTGATTTCTTCACTTCTCCAGCGGGTTGGTAAACGTGGTTTCAGCACCAGGTAGCAAAGGCCTAGAAGGAGCAGGCCCAAAACACTAAGAACAATAAAGTCAGGGTCAAAGCCCAAGACATGGGGGACATTATCTTTTATCCAATGTCCAAGAAACGGGAAATATTGTCTGCGATCTGCACGGTCATGCAGAGCCATGTCTGCATAGCTGAACTCCTCAAGACAACTGAGCCCTGAGGGTGCTGGCGCTTAGCTACATAGTCAAGGCCTGCCTCACAAAGCAAGGTAAGGTCACAAAGGGATTATGATTGTGGGAGGGGCAACATGAGGAGGGCCTGTCCACTGTCCCATGCCCAGCAGATCCTTCTGTCCTTCCTGAGTCCTCTTGAGGACACTATCCTACCATTCAGTCCCATTTTTCCACTCCGCTCTTATTTTCATGGCGTGGGCTTACCTTAGTGGAATTTTCTATTTGTTCCATATGTAACCCAGGTATCACCTGGGTCCCTTTTACTGTTTGGAGCCCTTGACCTGGACCCTACCAATTCCACTGTTTTACAAGTCCAAAATAGCACCCGCTTTTTGCTTTGACCCAAGCATTGGCACTCCCAGCATCACATGTCCTCAAATCCATCTTATGTACAGAATGTTCTTGCCTAACACTCACCCAGATAGAAAACAAAGTTCCTTTATGTTTCTTTAGTTTTGTGAATTTTCAATAGGTAACTTTTTTGTTTTAAAGTCAGCCTCAGCCAGGCATGGTGTTGCACACACCTGAAGTCTCAGCACTTTGGGAGGCCGAGGTGAAAGAATTGCCAGTGCCTGTGGGTTCAGGACCAACCTGGGCAACTTGGCGAGACTTCATCTCTACAATGAAATCAAAAAAATTAGCCAGGCATTGGGGCTTGTGCTTCTAGTTCCAGCTACTTAGAAGGCTAAGGCAGATGGAGCCCAGCTTGTCAAGGCTGCAGTAGCTGTGAGTGTGTCACTGTGCTCCAGTCTGGGTGACAAAGTGAGAGTCCAACTCAGAAAATAAAAAATAAAATAAATGAATAAAAAATAGAGTCTGCCTCTGCAACTTTCAATCATAGGAACTGACTCATGTAATTGAAACTAACAGTACTAAGGAAAAGGGGGTCGCTACCCAATGGGCTAGAGGCCAAAATGACGAAACCGGGTTTTTGAGAAAAGAAAAGCTTTTATTGCAAGTCGACAAGGACATAGGAATTCAGTTGAAATCTGTCTCCTTGTGGTGGCTTTAAGGCAGTCGTTTTGTTAGAAAAGGTTTAGGGGGTGAATTTTGGAGTTAATAAGTGATTGGTGGAAGCAAAAAGGAGGTCTAACAAGTCCTCGGGCAAAGGAGTTTTGTGTTTATGTTAGCTAATGGATCACATGCGCAAATTCAGGGGAACCTAATAGGAAACATCCAACAGAAATGTGAGTTCTACAAGGGATCCTATCCGACTTTGAAAGCCAACCAACTTGAAGCCAACCAATATGTTCACACTGGTCGACTGAGTATTTGCTTTCACTGTGTGGTGGGAGATTTGCAATATGACTCCAATTAGGGTGGCAATTTGAAACTCCTGTGCTCTCACTCTGGGACCTTGCTTCTGTCACATGAGTGTTGACTTTCAAGTAAAGGCCTATGGCAGGAACCCCAAATCAGAAGAGTCCAACCTCCAGTTCTGTGAGCCGACACTGACAGCTCCATCTAGCTTCAGCCAGGGGTGGAATCCAATGGTGGATTCCACGCTCCCTGTCCATAGAGAAAGCATCCTGCATAGGGCTGATAAGAGTCCATTCACTCAGCCCCCAGATAGAGATTCTGATAGAAATAGGCATCTTTAGAGAAGATTTGATTATCTGAAATGAAGTTAAATTTAAAGTTTGTTTTCATATAACTTGTGGTCAATTTTCACAAATGTCTCAAATATGTGCTTCAAAGAAAAATGTTCTCTATTTGTTGCCTTTAGAAATCTGTGTATCTTCATTATCTCAAGGTTGCTAATAGTACTTTTCACACGTGCTGTCTCCTTACTGATGTTCTGTCTGCTTGATCTATCAATTACCAGAAAGAATGTTGTTGTCTACCACTCTAAATTTATATCGGGTGCATATAAATTTTAAATTATTGTACTTTCCTTGGTGAAATCAAATTATTTATTAGTGTTTAGTGACCTTGTTTGTTGCCAATACATATTATAACTTAAAGTCAAAAAAGAAAAGAAATGTGAGTTTTGATGTCAACAATCTTGTTTTTGTGACATCCGCAAGCTCCTTTTGGCCATGTTGGTTTTAGTCAGTTTTTATGATCTCTCAAGCAGAGGGGAATTTTAGTGTTTTAACAAGTTGTCGCTGCTATATTTTATCTGCTATCCTGAAAACTCACTATTTATACCTCATTATAAATTGTGTCCCACAATTTATAGACGGCTTCTTCTTTTTTCTTTCTTTTTTCCTTCCTTCCTTCTTTCCTTCCTTCCTTCCTTCTTCTGTCTCTCTCTCTCTCTGACTCTTTCTTTCTTTCTTTTGAGTCGGGGTCTCACTTTGTTGCTCAGGCGGGAGTGCAGTGGCACAATCTTGGCTCACTGCAGCCTCCGTCTCAAGCTCAAGTGATTCTCCCACCTCAGCCTCCCAAGCAGCTGGGACTACAAGCACACACCACGACACCCAGCTAATGTTTTGATGTTTAAGTAAGAAAGGTTCTCACTAAGTTGCCTAGGCTGATGTTGAACTCCTAGGCTCAACCTACCCTCCCACCTTGGCCTTCCAAAGTGCTGGGATTACAAGTATCAGTCACGGTTCCCAGTCAGTCATCGGTTCTTTAACCGTTTGGGGCATGGTTTCACTAATAATTCCTTATTCAACATCCCCAAAACTAAAATACGTGCAAAATAAACGTGAACATTTAAAACTTCAAGGAATCTTGGAGATAAATTATAGCACTTATTTTTCAGAAGTTAATGAAGCTCAAATTATAAAAAGACTTTTAGGACATGTTCTATACACACACGTATTGAGCAAAAAGGAAGAAGCTGAGGCAATATGTATGTAAGTGGAGAGTTTATTTGGGACAAATTTGAGGATTATGACCCTGGAGCATAGACTCAAGTTGCCCTGAATATACATTCCGATTAGCGGCAGTTACAAGTGAGTTTTAAAAACAAAAAATGGGACAGGAAAGTTGCTGATACAAAGTTGTTCTCAGGAATTCTCACTGGGTTAAAGAAATAACATTGATTAGTGATTGGCTATACATCGTTAACCTGTAGGGTGTGGGTTCATTAGGTTATGTCTCGTGTAGTATTATTAGGTTAATGTATCTTTGTGACAATAGCAAGCAGTTTCAAGAGATGAGCACATAGTTCAAGCAGGAAGTAGGCCATGATGGCTGTCTCATTTCAATGTCTCTCTGGGCCTCATAATTTAAAAGGACTCAACATGCCTCAGATAAAAGTTCTTTTCTTTTCTCACACTCACAACAAACCCACCCCTCTTTTGACAAATCACTTCAGTATTTTCAAATCTTAGAAACAGTCATTTCCTCTTATTATTTCAATCTTTCTTTTGTTATTTTGACTCCACTTTTTCTAACTCTACCTAAAATACAAACAGTCCCAGGCTTCTACATCACTTTTATAACAGGTATGTGACTTTACCAAACCAGAGATAGGTTACAGTGTTTTACGCTATTATGATCTGAGAGACCAAAACAGACTCTCAGCTGGGCATGGTGGCACATGCCTGCAATGCCAGCACTTTGGAAGGCTGAGGCTGGAGGACTGCTTGAGCCCAGGAGCTGGAGACCAGCCTGGGCAACACTAGTGAGACCTTGTCTTTGTTTTTAAAAATTATTTTTTTGTTGTTATTTAAATTTTTTATTTTAAAGATGTGGGGTACAATTCAGGGTTAGGTATACAAATATTCATTATGCAGGTACCCTTGTTGATGAGGTATGCCCTCCCCTTCCCCAGGCAGATTCCCACTACTGCCAATTCCACCTCCCAGCCCCTCACCCCCCGCAGTTTCCCGTTACTGTCAATCCTTTTCTTATAGTATTACGCTAGTTGTCCAAGGTCAGCTTACGAGTGAGAACATGTGATACTCAGTTCTTTATTTCTGTGAAAGATCACTCAGTATTATAGACTCTAAGTCCATCCAGGTTGCTGCGAAGCAGTAGTGAGAACTTGTCTCTGTTTTTAAAAAAAATTATTTTTAAAAATAAATGCTCCTTTATAAGTAAGGCGGACATAAACTTTAAGGAAACAAAGATATCTACAAGCAGAGAATTCAGGGCCTAGCAGGCATGGCAAATTTTTAAATTCCTTTGTCTACAAAGGAATTGATAGAAGCTATCAATTCTAGTTTACAATCCAGAACCACTACCACTCTGACTGGACAGAGGACTGGCCTTACACACATTCTTTTCTGAAAACCTTCTGCACACATTAAGCCAGCTTCAGCTGCAGATGCTGTGCACAAACCATTATGTGTCCTATAATATTTCACCTATTGACATAAAGAGCCAAATTCTACCTCGTTTTAATGCCAAAACCCCACCCTAACGTGAACATGGTATGTATGTCACATATATGTTTACCCATTGCGTGTGTTCAGCTTCTCATAAATACATAGAGCTTTTTCCCCACACCTGCTCACTAGGTATGATAAAACCCACTTGTCCTTTCCCTCCTAAAAGAGGGAACACCTTCAGTCCGTGCTATAGACTTTCCCTTCCTGGCTGGTGAACCGATGTCTCCAGTAAAGTTCTCCTTTCTACTATGGAGCCATCCTGGTGGTCTTTTGGACAATACTGTTGATCCCCTCAGTCCTTGGTGGCAAGGTGGGACCTAGGTGTACCAAAGGTTTAGTGTAGAGTCTAGTCTTGGGCAGCCTCACCTGATTACCCCGTGGGCCATGTAAATGTGGTCTTTTCCCAAGAATGCCTTGGCACCTGCAAACAAAAGCTTGAGAAGATCCTCTCTAGATAATCATCCCTGCAAGTGCCCAAATCTCAACTACCTGTCACACTCCATTCCAGCTCCTTATGTCAGGTTTAAATAATCCCAGTGGTCCTCATCCCCTCCCCCCAACCCCTTCCTACATCTTTTCTAAAGTCTTTATCATCATGACAGCTGTCCTCCGGACTGTCTCCTGATTTCTCATGTCTTTCTTAAACTGTGAAGCCCTTTATT